AATATATATATATATTTAAAGTTGAGGATGATGTTATAATTAGCAATATTCAGATATCAATAACTGATTTATTTATTGAGTAAAACAATAAGGGATAGTAATTACTGAAACAAGATGTTTGTGACAAATTATCATACGCCTTTCACAATCATTAGTGTTAATTTTGTTTTAAAGCATTTTTATATATGCTTTCACAGTTCTTGAAATTTTATCTGTACACAACCATTTTGCGTTTTACAGCAAATAGTTTATAATTTAATCTTTATGTGTATGTGTTAGACGTCATTACTTTGCACATCAGAGCAGTAGGAGAGTGGACTAATCGTCTTTGGACTTACTTTGATAAACAACAGATGACAGAAACGTCACAATTCACTCAGTCGTCAAATAAGGACCACTCCTGTAATACAGGTTATTTAGACAAATCTTATCGAGTAAAAGGGACAACTTCAAGAGTAGAAAAGGAAAAATATCCCCTATCACGTATAAGATCGTCAAACTACTGTACAAATGATGATGAACCACAAAGGCTTTGTGGCCCTCCATCAAGCTCTAACTATGGTGACCTTGATATGAAAATTAAGTTTAATTGTAATACTGTTGGTGAGAGCTCTCGGTTTGATAAACAACGATCAGTAATTTCTGAAGAGAATCAAGAAATATTGAGCAAGGAGACAAACCGTTATTTAGGCAAAACTGAGAGTCAACGTCTTCAATCAATTCAAACAAAAAGAAATCCTTTACTCTATAATTCCGTAATCGTACTTCCGTCCAGGGGATCCGGATTCCGTAAAATACTTCCAACTGTGCGCCTTCCCGAAATAATTTCTGATGAAAGAGATGAAGAAAACAGGTTCACTTCACCTCCTCCCCCATCTACCTATTCTTCACTAGAAGAATCAACCGAATTGGGAAAACTTGCGCTGTCTAGTGAGGGCCTTAGGGTAAGAGTTGACTTCAGTTACTTTAAATGTTTTGTTAACCACAATCAAATGTTGTATGTCTTTTCATCATCAGTAGTTAATATACAGTTTTAATGTAAACACAAAACTTTTTTTTTTGACCATACTACTTATCATTTATTGGCTAACGTGAGGATCTAAGATTTTCAGGCTGCTGACTTGACATCAATTACGACAGCGGAAGTCACGTGACGCTAGTAACACGTCATGAGATTCTAGAAGGATCATGTCTGTTTGTGACAACTCTAGTCTTTTCTACGCGCCCTCTATTCTTGTATATAAGCGCGCCAGATAAAGCGGGACAATTAATCGGAATAGATAATTGCAGACAGGCAGAGATAGGGACGGACAATTGAGTCAAGCGCGGTAGTAGCCGTAAGTAAAGTGCGTGAATCGTTGTGAATTATAGCGTGTGCTTAAGCTAAAGTGACTGTGGAAATTCTGTGTATTGCAAAGTTGTATTGAGAAAGAATAAACTAGTTTTTTTTTTTTAAGAAAGGACTTGTATCGCTAACGTTTCACCCGAAAGAAATTATACGAGAAATTAACAAACGAACACAGAGACGTTACAATATTATATTCAGCAACAATTTGCATTACACGTGTAGAGCAGAAAATTAAATACCGTATTTGCACCTTTTTTTTCTTTTTTTTTGTAAAACGTGCGAAAATCGTACATGCTTCATAAACTTTCCAATATTTATTCTATACATTATTTTTCAGGTCTTCGTCGAAGGGCCATACGGTTCTCCAACTCGGCATATCTTCAGAGCTGAACACGCCGTGTTGATCGCTACTGGCATTGGCGTAACCCCCTTTGCAAGCATCCTACAAAGCATCATGGTGAGGTACCAACACGAAAGAATGTCTTGCCCTTCTTGCTGTTACCAGTGGTTGGATAAACCTCCACAATCCATCTTCAGCTTGAGAAAGGTGAAATTATTATGTTGGTTTACCTTACTGCTTAGATGGATCTATTAGATTTTTTTTTTTTTTTTTTTTTTTATAAATAATGCCTGCAATATTTTGTTGAAGAGAGACTTTTACCAAGCAAAGAAGGACCAATACGTACTTTTGAATGTTTTTTTTCAAGGCCATGAGCAGTATCATACTGTGAATTATTTACTTAATTTGCAAAGGAATTGTTAATAAATATATATATATGTATGGGGGGGGGACAAATATTTTCATTTTAAGTATATTAGAGTGTGATATATCGAGAATATTTAATTTTGCTCATAAATTGAGTGATACAGTGAAAAGTAAGATAGTTATACTGAATTATTGTAACATGTGGTGTAGCAATTATCATTACTCTAAGCTCAACACGCATATCTGACTATGTAGCACTTGT